CAGTTGCCATTCAACTGATCATCGAGTCTGGCAGAGCGTTGGGGGGCGGCGAACGAGACTCGGAAGAACTTCACATCATTCCCATCGCTTTTGTGGCTGTTGCAAGTAAGTCCTCTATCACCTATCGTGCTTTGGCGCCGGGCTTTCCTGATGGCTTCAGTCTTTTGCAAGGGCTCCCTCTGCATCTACTGCTTCATCTACCGCCGCTATCCGGCCGTACATGTCTTCTTCATCGACCACCGAAACGACATTGTAGTCAATGCCTTCGGTCTGGCCATGTCCATCGTTGGTAGCCGAGTCGTTTGGTATGTTGACCCGATCGGTGCTATCTTGATCGGTCTCTTGATCCTCGTTTCATGGGCCGCCAACGCATTCGACCATGTTTGGCTACTAGTAGGCAAGTCGGCGCCTAAGGATTTCATCTCGAAGTTGATCTATCTTGTTGTGACACATGACACACGGATTAAGAAAGTTGATACAGTAAGTGTTTGGAAATGGCATGCCGTGGTTGGCAGTTGTTAACTTGAACATAGTGCCGAGCATACCACGCTGGACAGAATTACTATGTTGAAGTTGATATTGTAATGGATGAGGACCTGCCTCTGAAAATCACTCATGATGTCAGCCAAACCCTACAGCGGAAGCTCGAAGGTCAGTACACCTTGATTCTGCGCATCACATCCTGAATCACGCTGACTTTGAACAGGACTTGCTGATGTTGAGCGAGCCTACGTACATGTTGACTATGAAGATGAGCACGACATCAACGAAGAGCATAAACCTCTGTATGAGGTAACCCAAAGCCGAACCATTAAAGAACGCGTCAAAGCATTACGGTTTTTGTTCAAGAAGGAAGAAAAGGGAACTTGAATATTCCGGCCACCTACCACACATTCTGTGGTAACCCAGAAGTAATGTCTGTTTATCCGCGCAAGAAGATTATACTGTTAGCGCCCTCTCGTACATACACGCCACAGGCTACAACATACAGCAAAAAGTTTGTCTCATCATGCATTAGATTTATACCCGCTAAAGTACATATACGAAGATTTTGTTTATTTATCCGCTCTTAGTCTTACTGATTGAAGGTACAATGTGTGAGACAGCACTGTGAAGCATAGGCGCGACCGCGCTATACAGCACATAGGGTTGAATGCTTTCAAGCAGCTTTGCAGATTGGAATTGTGAAAATAATTCAAGTCACCTAGCCTGCATCTTTACCTTGAGCTATTCTATAGCCATATTACCCCATCGTTGAAGCTAAAGCTACAAAATGCATTTTAGGCAAACTATTCAATGATGCCTCTTTGTTGATCAGCCTTGTTCAGATGTCAGCTTCTTAATGTAAGTGGAGGATCATAGAAGCCCCAAGGTCTCTAGATCTAGCTCCATATCCTCTCTCCAAACGTCATTCAAGACATATTCCTCATTGTTAGACCCTGTCATGGGCGCTACTGTTCTTCTCCACCGCCTGCGGAGCCTTCGCAATCTTCTCTCAGGGTTCAAATCTTCCATTCCTGTTTTCCTTTGTAAGGTCGCATATATACTTGGACCTGCTTGCGGATATGTATGCTGATTCTCGCCAGGTTCTGATCGCTCTGTAGCTCTCTCGTAGAAAGATTCCTCGTCGGCTTGGAAGGCGGCCAGATTCCTCCAGCCTGGATCTTTTTCAGAGTACGGTTTCCTGACAAGTCCTGGTTTGTTGTCCTCGAGTTGGCCATCCTTCAGCGCCTTGGAAAGTTTCATACTCATCTCGAGTTCATCAGACATGTCTGCTGCTGTCCTTTCGTCGCTAGGCCTTTTCCCCTTTTTATCCATCTTATTCGGTGGATCCCAGATCACCGTCTCTACTGATCGAATGCTCTCATCTGACCTCGGCCTTCGAAACTGAGGTCGTGTTGCGGCAATGTCTCTATCATGTCTCTGCTTACTTCCTTCAGGGCTGACCTTTCTCGATCTCGTCGAGCCCAGTGTCTCGTAGATCCTTGTATTCCTCTCGTCTATAGCCTTTACATCCACTACTCTCGTTTTGCCTGCACTAGCTGCTGTGCCCATTTCCTCCGCGACCTTCAAAGCGATGTCTTGTACCTTTTCAAACTCGGGAAATTGATCTTGGAGCGATTTGAAAAATCCATACCGTTCCCGGGACTGTAGATACCAATCCCGCACGGCGGAGAACTCGCGATAGGTGTACTCTAGATTGATGTGCGAGTGGACGAAGTTTAGACCCATTGCACGTACAATATTTGATTCGTGTGGAAAGCTCTCCCATATTGCGATCATTTCTGCGAATGTAACCGTGGCACCAAACATGAGGCGAGTTTGAATTTGCATATCAAGGCCCTGAATGCCTGATATGGGGAGTTCAAGTGCAAGCCAAGTCTTGTGAATGGAGACGGATATGAAGAGTGCAGGGTGGAGGAGGACCTGGTTCTTAGGTGGAACGCAGCCAGAGGCCTGAAGCATTCTATTCAGTATCCATTTAAGACCCACCGCTTCGATATCGTCGGAGAGAATGTCGATGCCGATATAAGGTGTGTGTAGCGCGAATCGAGCAATCGACCATGGAAGAAGCGTTGTTTTTGGAGGGGGCAGCACCCATTGCCTAAGCTTCGGCGTGAAGTGCAGGACTACATTCAGAGGAATTCGCGGCGGGAGCTCAGATACGATTTCCTTGCCTCGAATGCCGAATACAACATACGGTGGTGAACGAATACCGTTTGGCAGTGGCCGTATTGGGAACTCGAGAAGGTAAGACATCGTTGCGGCGTTGGCCTTGGTGGGCTTGCATTGCGCAAGATATGCAGGTGCCTTCAAAAACAAGCTTCGGTTTGGACAGGCGCCGATGGGTCTGTAGTGAAAGGCCGCCAAACTCTCATTTCCATTCGAGGTGAAACAGCGCTCAGTTACTCGGTCTTTTTGATCACCAGACCACAACACTGCAGCGGATCTCCGAACAAACTACACTGTTACAGCGTGAAATCTATACAACTAGAACATTTCCCTCACTTAGGCATCTCCAAGTGTGCGGTGACTGCGAACGGAGGCGCGACATGAACTTGTGTGTACAAATGATAGTCACTTGCAGAAGGATATACCGCAGATTCCATCTACTCAAGACGATCGGAGTTGCCCATCAAGAGTATCGGGATGCCATACATGGCTTGTCATCAACCATATCAGTCTGATAGAGTCTTTCCTACCAGCTATACCTACATCCCCAAGCAAATAATCATCGTGAAGAGACGTTTATGGAGACTGACTAGAAAGCTGACTTCACCAAGGCATCCAGTAACCTGGCTCTATATATTTCTGAAGCCAACTCGATTCTTGCTAAAAGAATATAGTGCACATATTTGAGCGTATATGCGTGCCAGTTGGCTATCATATTTGCAGGCAAGTGTCACTCGGCTGAGGATATGCAGTTAGATATTATGCATTGGGATTCGTAAGTATTCGGAAATCAGCATATGATTGGGTCTCAGTACTTGAAGGCTTTCACGCTTCATGCCATTCGATTTCAAAATAGCCCAGAGCTTGGTACTTGAAGGATGCAGTATCGCTGGATACAACAAATGGGGATAGCCATGGTTAATTCCGGGTATAAGTCCATTAGCGTAACCTTGCCCAGGCTGCCAAACTCCATAGAGGGACAGATGGGCTCACCAGCTGGCTTGACAAGGCGGAAAAAGGGCGGTGCAGGATGTGGTAGCGCCGAATTAAGGTTGTTCTTTGTTTGTTGGCGCTCGGAGGCTGTTGATTCCGGAACGCGTGGATCCCGTGCCTTCGCGTTTTCGCGTTAGGCAACCATTGAACCAGTAAATACAAAAAGCGGGGCTTCTGCATTCAAGTGAGGGTACATCATCAAGCACTGATTATACACAACCTGACCGAACCGCTTCCAAATCGAGAACCCTCATCAGTATACACATATCAATACTTGCGTATCATAATTCACAATGCCTGGCATATCTTCCCACCCAGTATTGCCCTACATCTCAAGCTTCTTCGGGAGCATATTCCTTGGCTTTGGAGTAACCTACATCCTCTATCCTCGCACGGGCTATGATCTTTTTGGCTTCTCTTCTACACCCAGCAACCCCTCCGACTGGGCCATTATGGAGCGAATCATGGTTCTCTACGGGGCGAAGGATCTCTTTCTAGCAGGAGCAATCTTCGCATCGACTTGGTATGGAACGAGGAAGAGCGCAGGTCTGATTCTTGTGGCGGCGAGTGCATGTGCGGGTGTCGATGGGTATGTGGTTGGGAAAGAGGCTGGAACGAATCACATGAATCACTGGGGCTATGGAAGCGTTATGGGGCTGGTGGGCTTGGTGATGGCGGGACTATTGGGGTAGGGTAAAAGTCGAAAGGGGCTGTAAGGGTGTGCTCCTAGCGGAAATTGTGGTCGCACGACATTCACACATATCGTAAGTAAATTGAGTGTTGCCAGGACTGACAGAACGCTTCGCTAACATAATAGAACTGCTCTACCACTGCTATCTAGACTAGAACACCCAATTTGTGGTTTCCATATCACCTGGAAGTCAGTAAACTATTTGACACCTGACGGCGTGACTTGGAGAGGTATGGCCTATGGGTTAGTGGCTCGTTCCTTCAGAACGACAAAAGAGACATAGGAGAGCACCAAGCAAAGATTATGAGATACTAGCCTGGTACTGTCTCAACCATCGACGGTGTGAAAGTTATTGAAATATTTCAATTTTTAACAGGTATACCATAGCCTCTGAGCGGATTGGCGTAGCACCACTTGAAGCTGAGAGTGCGTGTATGTGGCCCAAGTATATTGACTAACCTAGGTGGGACTGCGGGATGGTTTCTTCGCCAATCTTGTGCCCCGCATAATTGCACAATGACTCTCTCGCCTACTTTATTTATATTGGCGCTCGTGTAGGATTAAGACCCACACAATACGAATATCGTGGCGAGGCTATGGACATGAATGCACCAATTTTCAAAATTGTTATCCAAGTCATTTAGGCCCTATGGCGCAACGGTAGCGCGTCAGATTCCAGTACGTCTGGAGATACCTGAAGGCTTTGTGGTAAGCACTCCACAGTAGACATTGCATGTACGACCCGTTACTGACCTTGCCTTCAGTTCAAATCACAATGGGGTCATCAACGTTCTTTTTGCTTGCGTTTTGGTCGTCTTGTCTGCTACGCAAGGGTACTGGTTGCTGCTTGTAATGGCGTCGTGATACTTTTGCCATTTTCTTAGTACGCAACGCCTCTTCTACAGGTCGTGATTGTTGTTGCAGGATGGTTAGAATTTTTCGTGCAAAATCCAGTGATGCTGATACTGAGTGAGTGCTGCACGTGCCGTCGCGTAAGCCAGCGTGATTCCCACACGCGTCATCCGAGACCTGCACCCTGCATTACCTCGACGCGAACAGCATTTTTGTGATGGCTGATGTCTGGAACGGGCACATTTTGTTACCTGATGGCAATTTGATCAAGGGTATGTATCTTTGTAAGTGTAGTCGCTATGCTATGCTAATAACCGCTCAGACATTGGCCTCACGTCGCACACAGTCGCGTCTGCCCTAGCCCCTCCTGCAACCCGTCTCCGCTTCCTTTCCACTGTCGATACCGCTAAGATCCCACTATACCTTGCTGTAGGACCCAGTCTAGATGTATGGACCACATGTGAAGCTACCGAGGCTTGGTTCGAGTCCATCTTGCTCAGCAAGCCATCTGCGTTGACTGGCACGTCTGGAAATGTCCCCGCCAACGAATGGTGGAATCTTGCACGCTCACAGTCACCCATTGGGATCTTGGTGCAGGTTCACAATGAAGACGAAAAGGCACAATCGCCTAGAGTGACAGAAATTCTATTCTATGGGTCCATCGCCGCCCCCACCACCGGCGAACTTCCTACACCGCCATCATCTTCGCCGCAACTGTCCAATGTTCTGGTAGAGCGCCTACCAGAGCTTCGAGTCCATGCACTACCGCTGTCGTCACACCTTCTGCATCACCACAAGGTTGAGCCGCTCGTTGACGGAACAGCCCATTTCCTTCCACCACTGCACAACTCACAGCCAACTCCCACATCACCAAAACGCACACGAGACATTTTCGAAGAGGCGACCATCGCCAACAAAAAGGCAAGGGGAAGAGGTGGAACAGGAGTTGCAGCTGCTGCAGCTCGAGCGAGCGATTCTCAACAACCATATGCACACCGGAAATCGCTCTCCATTGACACCAAAGCTCTGCCTTTCCCCGACTCTAGGCCCCCATCCGCGAATAGCGCTCTGTCGCGCCCCAACTCGCGCCAGCTTTCTCGCTCACCCAGTATATCTTCTGACATACGACCTTTGAGCCGCAAGGGCCTGCCAGAGGCACACATCAAACGCTCAACCCTGTCACAAGTGGCTACATTATCCCTACAACCAGAAGAGCCAACCACAGAAACGAGGAATAAGGAGGCACTCTCACGAGTGGTTATGGCGGCCATGCGTATGCACGGACTACAACAGCGGAAGAAGAACAGATCCCGCCGAGCATCTGTTGCCCCTGGCATCGAAGAAAGCCCGCAGCTGAGTGAAGAGGCCGCCGCTGAGGAGGCCGCGAAAGATGACGAGTACAAGCTGATCTACCACCAAACATACAAGGGTGCGGCATTAGCATTGGTGAGTTGATCCGCCTTTGATCGACGGAGTACAGCTGATAAGTTATGCAGAGGAAACACATGTCTAAGAATCCGTTACATGCCCAACCTGATCGCTTGCGCGACCTTGTAGAGAAACTGCTCACCATATTTTTGAGCGACCCTCTTGCGGAGCCGCTGCCCTTAGATGAGCCTGCCAACACCGTAGCTACGCCTGGTGGTAAACATAGACTTGCTGCTCCTGGGTCAACTCACAGCCATGCTAGTCCGTTCGATTTACCTAGCATAGTTCGATCGCGATCAGGTATCAGCAGATCTGTAACTGACACCCAATTTTATACTGGGTCACCAGTGAGCAAGAGGAAAGTCGAAGCAAACTAAGTGCACTCTGTAATGACATCAGAGTGTACGGTTTGATGATTGCTCTGCTTTTGCCAAACTGCACTAAATATCGTACAGTCAGTTTTTGGATGATCCTCTCGGGCGATATTGCATCAGACCCGGTCTAATCCGAGCACTGTTACTGCCGTGGACCAAAATAGTCAATTGCACCAGTACTTGCAGCTCTGACCTTACGTTTCAGTACTGCGGAAGAGTAAATCAATATAAACGACAGCGGAGTTGCGTTGCATTCCTGGCATGGCATGCTGACGGTCGTCCACTAATCTGCACATGGAACACGAGGATCGCCAGCCTCGCACCCCATAAGCGGCAATTGTTAAACTTAGCGGTTGTGGCGCCGCCGTAACCGTGCTGCAGCAATGATCTACGTTCCCTTGCATCATAGTATCGTGGACCTTGAAGAGTATTGTAACTCACTGGATCTGGGAGTGATTTGAGCACTGATGTTACGTATTTCGAGGCGGAGCAACTCGTGATTTCTCGTGTTCCTTGGTGGTACGAGTTTAGAAGCTTTGACGATGTTTCCAGAATTACCCTAATGAGGGACTGAATGTAGAGAGCAGATGCGTATAAAGAGTTGGAGGACGCGCAGAAACGAGGATCCAACCTCACGCTTCACAGTCGAACTCGCCATTGTCAAGCCTCTTTCAAACACAAAACCATATCATCTATACAACATGTTCTCCAAGATCTCTGCTCTTGCTCTCCTCGCCGCCAGCGTGTCCTCCGCCCCGGCCGGTTCTTGCGACGCACCTGCGCCGTGGACTTGGGAAGTCCATGGCTTCAGCAGCGTCTGCACAGCAGCAACATGCCGCTATTCGTTCAACGTTTCCGGGCCTGCAGGTCCATCTAGTCAGCCGCCGTTTGATGCCAGTGGCTGCACTGGCACCAGCGTCCAGGGCGAATACAAGTCCTGTGCCATTGTTGGCGTGGATGTTCCCGGCGATGTGCAGACCCAAGAATTCAACCACGGCATTGATATCGGAGCAAGCATTAGTGTGCAGTATACATTTGAGCAGTAAGTGCTTCTGGTGGAATCAGGTAGCGTAGAATTCGCATAGAATATCGTTGCTAACTATTGCATAGGAATGGTGTAAAATACACGTATACTGGCAACAACTCGGTTGCTCACACAGGCAACGGCCCCGCTGTGGAGTTCACAATCATTCCCACGGAGGTCTATGCTGTTCCAGTTGAGAAATAGAGAAAGCCTAGAGGCAGCGCTGAGGTAGTCAGTATCTACAGTAAAAATCTTGACTGTTGAACAACATACATTGCCTCATCTTTTCCAAGTGACCATACCAGTCTTGACAAAGCTCTTATCATCTTTGTGAACTTTTTGCCTTTATTTTCTCCATGTCCTCTTGTAAGGCCTCCAGTGACCGGAGGGTATCGGTCACAAGTAGCCTTGTGACATCCCAATGTGAAGGCGCTTCGTAGAGCGTCATCAGTCATGGCTTGAGCAACAACAAATCCTCGAGTCTTGCTGCAAACGTAGCATTATCAAAAGGCCAAATCTTTCACATCGGTGTTTTACCATTTGGAGAAGTGTATGCATGGATGTGGTGAAATTCCGTTCAGTGATTCGACAAACTCATGTCTATCACTCAACATCGATATCATAGAACCGATGTGTTGTGGGATCGATCTAAAGTACCTGTAGTGTATATTGATAGGGTGTGTCTTGATAGAATTATTCGTTGACATACTTCTGAGAATTATCTAACCCATGTTCGCTTGTTGTAAAAGAAAGCTATTGGAAATGGGTTTCTAATAAGCAAGATAAACTCCGAATATTGAGCTGAAGGACAGAACATGCAGTGTGAAATTACCTCGGGACATGGAGCCTATTAGAAAAGTAAAAGCAGGGCAATCGATTGAGTTGAGAAAATATGACGCCTTGCTCTTGTTACTTATCGACTTTCTGATGTCATTTTGCATAGTGAGTTATCTTTGTAATTTATATCATGCGCTATGTACACATGTCGCTCTAACATATACGCTTGAGATGCCTTCCGCTTCAACGTAGCCTGAGGTTGCACTCTTTCCTACATTGCACTCTCCTTCGATCCTAGTCATATCGTGCACCATACGGTCCTCATTTACAAAACCTACAGTTCGTCCCTCACTCTCTCTCCACTAAGGTCCGGCATAGCCATCATCTTTACTACCAAGCTCGTCCACCCTGTAAAATGCTGAGTCCGCTGACCCTTGCCAGTCTCTGGGTTGTACTGTTCCCATGCGAAACCGGTTTCCTTCCAGCTCTCGTACACTGTTTTGACAAGGTTCTTGCGGAGATCAGTATACAGCTTGGTTGCGCGCTTCTGATGCGGTCCTTTCTGTTGCGCGATGTTCTGTTGTCGTTGTTAGTATTTTGTTTTTTGGAAGGGTAAATATTGGTTTGCAGGATGCCACAACTTACAAGCAATTGGCTCACCGCCAAATAATTCATGTTCATCCAAATTGGTCCACGCCAATAATCCTCGGCCGTGTGATAGAACTCATCACTCTTACTCAGACTCCTCAATCCATAGTCGCTCCACAGTTCCTCCTCATCGCCAATCAAATCCAGTACGGCACCTAATCTTTTACTATCTTTATCCACTAGTCCTGTCAAGAACGGGAATAGCGAGATATATCCCTTGTGGCACACAAGTGAATGCTCCTCATAATCGTCAATGGTAGCATCGCAGTATGTCTTTGCTTTATCGGACCAGTGGAGATCGTCAATGTTGCGAGTGATGGCTTCGTCGTACTTGGCGAATTCAAGCGCATCATCGTCCTCGCCCAAGTAGACTGCAATACGCTTGATGGCACGTGTCATCATGCCCATCCAGCTTATCAGGTCAACATGTAGCTCGCCGGGGTGAGGAGGCTGGGCGCGAGGATAATCATCGAGACCAGAGGTGAGGATGTGCTGCGGTGTACGGCCGCGCCACCGGTAACCTTCTTTTGTGGAGAAGGCCTCGCGGTCGTAGCTCTTAATGTCGCCGGCTTGCGTTTTGCGGAACCAGAAGTAATGGCGCTTGAGGAGAGGATAAAGGGCGCGGAGGTACTGCAGAGCTGCTTCGCGGTTTGCCAGCTGCATATAGTAAGACTTCTCATG